GTGGCCGGGAGTGGCCACTGCACTCCAGTCCGGGCGACAGAGTGAGACTCCAACTCAAAACAAAAAACAAAAAACAAACAAAAAAAGAAAATATGAGACCAGGCTTGGTGGCTCACTCTGGTAATCCCAGTACTTTGGGAGGCCGAGGTGAGAGAGCTTGCTTGAGTCCAGGAGTTTGAGACTGGCCTGGGCAACATAGCAAGAGCTCATCTCTACAAAAAAAAAAAAAATAGATGTGGTGATGCATGCCTGTAGTCCAAGCTACTTGGGAGGCTAAGGTGGGAGGATCGCCTGAGTCCAGGAGACAGAGACTGTGGTGAGCCATGATCATGCCATTAGCCCTCTAGCCTGGGTGACTGAGTGAGACCTCGACTCAAACAAGCAAACAAAAAGAAAATGTTAAGGTTTTTCTCCAATGCAAGGTTAGATTCAGTTGAGTCTACCAAGGTAGAAGAGAGTTATCTGACTCTTGGGGGGAGAAAATATAACTATTTCTACCCAGAAGAAAAAAAATCTCGACTCTGTCCCTACTGTGGTGTAGGAGGGTGAGCTGGCCTGAAGCATGCTGGGTACTTGGGAGACATTATTTCACTTAATTCTGCCATCATGACTTGTTTGTGTCAACAAGCTTTTTCACTTCAATACTTGTTACCCTGAATTTGAATTTTTGTACAGGAAAACGATTGTTTCCATTCTTATTTCTATTGGGATGCATTTTTGTCCATTCTTTTTCAAACTCCAGTGATCTCACGTTTCTTCCCTTTTCTGGACCACACATTCAACGCCCCCATCCCCACCCCCCAAAAACTCGTCTTGCAGAGTTTTGTTTCTTGTGTCCGTGCTTCCCCTCCACCCTCCGTGTAATTTGGGATCTTACCATGTTTCTGCCGTTTTAGAGATCATTTCCTACCAATCTCCTTATTGCCAGATTCTCCCCTTCTGCTCTTACGTGTCCGTCACCACCAGGTGCTCTGCTCTCCTGCCTAGAAACCTTCTGTGACTTCCTGTGACCTTCAGGTTGAAGTTCAAGCTTCCTTGTTTGGCACTTGAGTCATCCGTCGTCTGGCCACAGGCTATCTTTTTGTGTGAATTTCTTTTCTTTTTTAGAAAGTAGGACTTCTGAAGAAGACAGAAAAGCTCCCACAGCGGGAGGAGACCTGAAAGAGGTTGCCCTGTAAGTTTCTTTTCTAATCTTTTCATATTTGGAAAGAAATTCTTCCTTGCTTCCTGGTCCGCTCAGTGGATTTCTAAGAAGATGGCCATCCAGAGACCTGGGGTGTGTGTGCTGATAAGTCAGGCCCATGCAGGAATGGACCCAGCTGGTTTCTGCGTCAATGTTCAAAGAAGGGAGACTCTTAGAGGCCCAACCTGGGCCATGCAACCTTCTCTGCTCCAAAGAGCTGTGAGGAATGCCCCACGTAGTACAGACCGGGCTGCTGGGCGCCTTGCCCTGTGTGATGAAGGGGAAGGGACTGGTCACCAAACAAGGGGGATGTCCTGCATTCAGTGGCTGGGTAGGTACCTTCAAAAGGCACTTACCCTTAAAAGGCCATGAGTCTTTTATTTATTCAATCAACATATACGTACCTGCTGTGTACAGCCTTTTTGTTCAACGGACCCCAGTACAGTGTTGTCTACTTGGCCTTCACTTAAGCTCGTCCGTATCCTTGTCTCTTCGAATATACTCCTTACCCCCACTGAAAGGCTCTTCTGTCTGTCCTCAAAGTCTGGCCGACCACTTCCCTGCCCAAGTACAGAGGATGCTGACCTTTGACCCCCCTGCGCACCTTCGAGCCCACTCTTAGTCACTGGTAGCTAACCGTGGTCACACCTTAAACTAGTTGACCTTAAAAAATAATTTAGAGTTGTGGGTACAAGTGAGGATTTGCTACATAAGTAGGCTGCATGCAGGTGAGATTTGGGCTGCTAGCGGGCCCCTTCTCCCCTCGGTAATGGACCAAGTATGCTTCGTGTTGCCACGTTTTCCAATTCCTCCTCCCTCCCTCCCTCCCCTAGCGATGCCATGTCTGCTGATCCCACCCTTGTGCTCACGTGACTGGTGTTCAGGGTCCACTTACGAGTGAGAACATGCGGTATTCGATTTTTTGCTTCTGTGAGAGTTCACTTAGTATAATGGTCTCTGACTGTATCTACGTTGCTGCGAAGGCCGTGATTTTGTTCTTACGGCTGCAGAGTATTCCATTGTGTCATAGAGAAACTCTGCAGAGAAAGAGAATTTTTTCTTTATCCAGTCCACTTTCGATGGGCATCTGGGTTGGTTCTGTGTTTCTGCTATTGTGAATAGTGTCAATCAACATGTGTGTGCGGATGTCTTTCTGATAGAGCGCTTAATAATTCTCTGGGTGTATTCTCAGGAGAGGGTTTACTGGATCCTATGGAAGTTCAATTTCTAGTTCTTTGAGTAATTGCCACGCTGCTTTCCATAGAGGATGAACTAGCTTGCATTCACATCAACAGTGTAGATGCATACTTAGTTCACCTTTTTTGAGGGTAGGAGCCAAACCTTCTGTTTCTGTGTTCCCAGCGACTTCGAACAAGTGAACCTCAATTGTGGCTGCCAGTGAGTGACGTAAGGAACTTTAAAAACAAAAACCGACCACAGAATCTGTGAGGGCGGGGCCCAGGAACTAGTAAACTGTGAGAGCTCCCTCGGTGATGCTTGCATATAGGGGAGTTGGGAGCCGCTAGGGGAACGCAGGCCAGGCAGTGAGCTATTTAGACCCGTGCTGGTGTGTGTCACTTGGGCCCCCTGTGCAGGGTACTGCAGCTCTGCCTGGACCCAGAATAAGGCTTGAGTAAGAATGATGCGTCACTCCAGCAGACAGAAGCACCCGTTTTGTCCCAGGCACTGTTCTAGGTGCTGGGGTCACTGCCGTGGACAAAAAGCATGTCCCTTCCATTCTGGAGGTTAAGCTCTTGGGTGAGGAAGACAGACCGTTCATTGATAATATCAGGTAATGATGATACATGCTGTGGCGGGAAACAAGCAGGGCAGGGGGGGTGGGGGAGAGGAAGGCAGGACTTTTACACAGGCTCATTTCCGAAACATTCCCCATCTGTCTCATGTCAGCCAGTGCTCTAACAACTGGCCTCCCCTGAACCAGGTCAGGCCCCAGGGGCAGGCTAGACAGTCTTGAGGGAGGGATCCTTGCTCTCTGCTGCTCCCTGTTGATACGGAGAGGGTCCAGCAATGTTCTTTGGAGCCCGTAAGACCCCAGAGGGTGGGCAGATGGATGGAAGGAGGCGGGGGTTCAGGACCACGGTGAGGAACAGCCAGGGTGCGGCCGGCACACCCTCCAAACCAGAAGGAAAACTGGGGTGTGCCCGGCTTATGACCAGGGGTCCAGCCGTGGGCACCAGAACTTAATCCTTAATATTCAGGCTGCTGTGCCACATTTTGCTTGCTCCCCCTCACTTAGGATAAGGATAATCATCCTGATAGTCACTTTAAAGAGATGATTTAGCTAGGTGCGGTGGCTCACGCCTGTCATCCCTGCGCTTTGGGAGGAGGAGGCAAGAGGATTGCCTGAGCCCAGGGGTTTGAAACCAGCCTGGACATCTTGCTAAGACCTCGTCACGACAATAAATCAAAAATTTAGCCGGGCGTGGGGGCACGCATCTGTAGTTCCAGTTACTTGGAAGGTTGAGGCAGAAGGATCACCCGAGCACACCAGATTGAGGCTGCAGTGGCTATGAGCGTGCCACTGCACTCCAGCCTGGGTGACGGAGTGAGACTCCTATTCAAATAAATAAATGAATGAATAAATAAATAAATAAATAAAATAAAGATGATTCAGCTGAAACTTTTTCTTGCAAGGTGTTTCTCTATGACAATGAACAGTATTTTGGGTAACTGGGAAGTGGAGATTTACTCACATGTCAGTTTTTTAAATAATATCCACCATCTGTGTCTTTGATAGGTGGAAAACACAGTGGTGATTAGAGCGAATGCATATTTAAGGAAAGCAAGATAGGGCTTCCTCCGGATGTAGGGCATTTATTTTTCCGTGTCCCTGACCTCAGATGCCTCTGCCCCAAGGTCAGTTCTCATGCTAGGCGGGCCCTTCTCATGAGAGACACTGCCTTGGAGTTGGAGATGGGGTCGAGGTCCGTGTGTGCAGCAGACCGAGTCACGGGCAGATCCTTCTCAATGCTGACATCCCGCCACCAAGTGAAGGTTATGTGGGGGCTGGCTCAGCCAGAGAGGCTCGAGTGTAGGACTGAAATCAGACCTCCAAGAGCCGGGCTGGCTTGCCTTGCAACCACAGAAACAGTAACTTAAGCTCACACGTCGGCCCTTAGGCTGGGTCGGTGCAGCACTGCAAATGCACTCAGGTCCCCAGGCACATCTGGGAGACAAGCAGCCAGGGTCCCTTCAAGACAATGGCGAGAGCACGCCCTTCACAC